GGGCTAATGGGCATGTAGCTACTTCCATGTTTCAGATGATACGTCATGTTTGTAGTCGACCAATGAAGATGAGTTTACATATCACCTTGGGTTCGTCCTTCACCTTCTCAAAATGATCCCACACTTTGGATTTCCTGCCCGACATGTTATTAACTAGCCTGTGGAATAACCGCAGGTACCAGCCCTGGAGATTAACCTGACTCCTGTCTGACTGCTGAGCGTGGACACTTCCTGTGTCTGTCCTTTCAAATTAAAGTCACACATGCTCCAGTCATATAGGTTTGGATTTATTTTGACATGGCGCAGCTCCTCATAGAGTTTCACTTTTTTTTTTTTCCAATGAAATCCTGCAGACTAATGACCTTTCTGGTCAATTGTCACCAAAAATATGTCATCTTATCCTACGATATATGGACATAACCTCGTTGTATGACAAAGCTTCACACAAATGTCTAACAGGATGAAATAATGAAGGTCAAAATGTCAAAGGTCAGCTTGACTGTGACATCATCATGTTTTAACGTCATATCTCAGGAACAGAAGGGGAGACATTTGGTCAGATACTGAATTGGTGACTCTAATCTTGACACTGTGCTGATTGTATAGATCTTCTGTGTGTGAGGCGTCTATGTTTTACAAATTGCAGCTTCTCTGCAGCAGCGTATGAAAGATTGTCTGCCGTCATGGCTGCAGACGAGTCTGAATAGACATGGATATAAACTGTAACTGCACTGTGACTGGTCTGAAATGGTCTCAAAATGACAAGAACATTGTTTATTATAATTCTTTCTGGGACGATCAACGTCCAACAATGAGTTACAGGGTCAGGTCTGCTGTCACTGCTGCTGTGACATTAAACCATTCATTCGGCCCAGTGTGATCTAGTTTTATTTTCCTGTGTGGTCACAAGTCATATCCTGCTTCCTGTCTGACAATGTTCGCTGTTTGATCTCACAGGCAGTTTCATATTTGTGACCCCAAAAACAACGGGTTGGAAATTACAGCTGAAGATGGCATCTTTGGTCTGTGGTCTGTTCGGCTGCACATGTCGTCCTACACTCAGTAACTCATCCCCAGGAGTCTTCATGAGAGACGTCCAATCAGAGAGCTTCTTGCTGTGATGATGGAGGTTCAGTTTTTGTTTGTCTCTGTCTTCGCAGTAACAAGTCGTCCTGCAGTCAGATCGCCATGCAGCTGAAGGTGCTGCGGCCCGACGACGTGGTCCGCAGCCTTGAATGCGAGCCTCCGGTTGCCATGGCAGCCAGCGAGGTGATCATCCCTTTTCAGGAGGGGAAGGTGCTGGACTGTCCAGACCTGGAGGAAGCACGCAAAATGGCCGAAGGAGAGCCGACCGTCACCTGGTACCATGTGAAACTAGGCGGCTCGGTAATCCATCCGTCCATCTGTCTAACATCTGTCTAACATGTGGGTCAGTCTGTGGTCGTAGCTGTAGTGTATGTGGACACCAGAGTGTCGCAGACGCCGGGTGTTGTTAGCCTAGCTTAGCACAAAGCCTGGAATCAGAGGGAAACTGCTCGCGTAGTACCATCAAAAGAGAAAACGATCCACCTCATAAAAATCTCACCGTCTCTCTCCGTCCTGTCTCTCTGTGTCTCAGCGGTGTGACCAGTACCCGTTCCTGGCCAGCAACCGGGAGCAGAGAGGACCCAGCCTGTACATTCACGTCATGTACGAGTTCTATCAGGGTGTTTATTTCTGCACAGTCGACTACAGGAGGAGAGGCAAAGCCCTCAACTTCACCAGGAGCATCAACGTCAGCGCAGTCTGTGAGACAACCACACCACTGCTGACAGCACCACCACTGCACAGACATTCATTTACACCACTGTGAGGTTTAACACTCCGTTTTATTCCCACAGATCCGACTGCTTTGCCCAAACTACCCAGCATCCTCCACCCGGGGAAGGACCAGGTCGTCACTGTCAAACAGGGTGAGTTAACAGCAGGGACACTGTCAGCTGTCAGATCATGAAACCGTTTGAATTAAAATGTGATTAAATTAGCCTTTTAGAGACCCTGAAACAGATCAGCACAATTTGATCACAATAAACTGGATTAGTGAAGATCTACAAACGAGGTTACATCCCCATCAGGTGATGCAAATTCCTCCTGGCTGCATTTAAATCAGCTGTAGCGCTGTCAGTAAAACACATGTAAGCTCACACTGCTTTATAATGTGAAGGCAGTTTTTCCACAGTGGTTGTGATGAGATGATTTGTTGCTGATAGACTGGTGAAAACTCGATAAAATAAACCTCCAGTAAACCTTCAAATTCACAGACCTGTTCACCACCGGATTATTTCCAACACAGCTCTTTACGTTGTTTGAAGATACTGTAAACCTTCAGTTAAAAGCCTCGTCCCAAACAGACACCCAGTCCTGTTTACTAGCCTCATGTAGATACACATTTTGGGACACCTTTTGGTGTCATACATTATGGGGACACGAACTTGTGTGGTACATTATGAGGACACCTGACTTTACATACATTATGAGGACGCCATCGTGTTTCTTACATTATGGTTTGACTTTGCGTAACTATGGGCAAAACTTCCTGTGTTATACATTATAGAGACACCTTCTTGTGTCATACATCATGGGGACACTTTCTTGCATCATACGTTATAGAGACACCTTCCTGTGTCATACTATTGGGACACCTGACTTGGAGTCCCCATAATGATATACTCAATCATGTATCATGCATCATGAGGACACCTAATGTAGCATTTATTATGGGGACACCTGTCTGTGTCATACACTATGGGGGACACCTGAGTTTGCATATTTTATGAGGACATATGTCTGTATCATACACTATGGGGACACCTGTCTGTATCATACACTATGGGGACACCCTCCTGTGGCTTGACTGACTTTTCCAAGATGCTGACTTTGCATATATTATTTGGGACACTTGTCTTCGTCATACATCATGGGCCACCTATTGATCAGGAACGATTGTTGGATTAGAACAGAAGGAAAACATGGATCATACATTCACTGTCTCACACACACACACACACACACACACACACACACTCATGGTGGCGACAGGAAGAGGAGAGAATAATGGATTTTTTAAAGCTTTTCTCATCTGGCGCTGTGGAGGACAGAGAACAAGAAGCTTTTCCAAAATGTCCGACTGTTCCTTTAACTCTGGACCTTTAACTTTCTTTGTGAAGCATCGCAGAGTTTCACTTCTCCTGGAGTCTGATTATCGTCTCTGAGACACGCAGCGTCTTTACGTTAACTCGACCACTCCCAATAAAATAGTTATTCTGGAACTGGAGCAGGTTATGTTGAAATATTTGTTTGTTAGTTTGTACGTGAAAAGCAAACAGGAAGTAGACATTCACATCCTGTCCTGCAGCACAGGCTTCTCCCTCCGTTACTCTCTAAACCCTCTCAGCAGCTCAGTGACTGCAGTGTATCCAGATGGGAGCTTCATCTGCTCCAGCCTCGTTACTGTTCATATTTCCTGTGTTTTTATGGGACCTCCGTCAGCTCCTCCACCTGCAGCGGGACTCTAAGGACATAAAGCTGCTCCGGCAGTGATGGAGAGGCGCCGCCTCCTCTGCCAACAACTTCTTTTAAATTGGTTTTTCCTGAGAGCGGCTCGGAAAAGATTCAACATTCACAAAGTTAATTGTGCGAACAGAACTAGCGCAGGCTGCAGGAGCTCGTCCAATAAAAGAGAACGAGCCGTTAACAAGGAGCACGGAGACACGGCGCCAAACACGTGTCACATGAACATGGATTGTACATCACTGCTGAACAGGCGGTGAACTGCAGGATGTTTAAAGGAAACGTGTCTTGTGCACAAACACTGTTTGATGCTTTATTCTGACTGTGACTGCGGCGGTTTGACCGTCTAGCTCTTCTGTGCACGTCAGGAAGTAGAGTCTCTGCTGTGCCCTCTGAATTAACGCTGTGGTGTTGGCGCTCCAGGTCCTCCTCGATTTGGAGACCCAGAAACCAGACGTCAGAGCCCGTCTCCACACTCAGGCTGATGCTTAATGACTGAATGTCCGTTTTATTCCTGCTGTAGTCGACGATCAGCTCCTTGGTGACTCTAAATTGTCCGTAGGTGTGAATGTGAGTGTGAATGGTTGTCTGTCTCTATGTGTCAGCCCTGTGATAGTCTGGCGACCTGTCCAGGGTGAACCCTGCCTCTCGCTCATCCTGACTGAAAGTGATATAACTTTAATTCTGTGATATCATGAAACCGCAAATGTTCTGAGACGGTTATCGCACAGTGAACATTTCATACCGTTGCAGCCGTATCGCATTCTGTTTTTAACTGATGTTTTACACAGCGTCCCAGCGTTTTTAGAGTCGGGGTTGTAAATGTGTGTCAATGATGCTGAGTTCTGACTGTGAATCTTCTCCCCCCTCTCAGACACCGAGGTGCGACTGGTGTGCGTTGGTCTGTTCCCCTACCTGAACTCTCCACGGGACATTTGGTGGACCGTTGATGGGAAGAAGTTGGATAAACTTGGTGACCCTCGATTCAACAACTCTGACAGGTGGAAGGAAAACATGTTCAGTCTGAGGTTTTATTAATGTGTTACATATAAAGCTTGCAGCTGCTGTGGTTGTTAAAGAGCAGCTGCATCCCTCACCCTGCTCATAAACTCTGTGATTGTCAAATACTGAGCTTGACATAGAGTGCCGAGCTCAGCAGGTCTCTGCAGAGGGTTAAACATACAGGATTTATGGGTAATAAGTCATCAGTGTTTTACTGCGACTGAGTGTTTGACAGATATGATGTGTGTGTTTGTTTGCAGGGAGGTGAAGTACGACCACGGGGACCGCACATTGGAGAGTGTACTGGTGATCAAGGACTTTCGGTCTGAAGACCTGAAAAGGGAGTATAACTGCTCCGTGAGGAACGTGAAGGGCTTCGAGACCCGCAGAGCTCACCTGGAGGAGGAGGGTGAGGACACAGAGATGAAGCTGATATCCTTTACTGAAAATGTCAGACTGTTCCTTTAAATCTGCCTGGACAGGTGGACGGACAGGTATTAAAGTTCAGGTGTGTTTGTTTTGCGTCAGTGTCGCTGCCGTCGGTGGAGCTGGGCTGTGGTCTCGGTGTGACTCTGGTCCTCATGCTGCTCCTCTTCGTGGTTTATCACGTCTTCTGGTTGGAGCTGCTGCTGCTCTATCGCTCCTGGTTCGGCACAGACGAGCGGCACACAGGTAAGCGCCAGGCGACGCCTCAGGTGTGCCTTATTTTAAAAACCTGTCGCCTCTTCTGATTTCATTTAAGTCTCAAATAAAAGCTGGTGTTCAGATAACGGCAGGGGAACTCATTGGTTGTTCTCTTATTTTAATTTGTAATGTTTGACTCTAATCTTGATGCTGTGCTGATTGTATAGATCTTCTGTGTGTGAAGCATCCATGTTTGAAGCCGCGTCCACTGTCATGGCTCCATGTGAGTCAGGACAGACATGGATGTAAACTGTAACTGTGCCCTGACCGGTTTGTGGAGGCAGTATTTCTAGTTTCTGTGCTGTTCTGCTGCTACCACACTCCAGTAAACCCACAGATGTGTCAACACATTTAAATGATTTAGCACCTTTTTGTATAATTGAAAAACACGTGAGCAGGAAGAAAAACATCTTCTGAAGTATGAGTAATAAAATTGGACCCTTGTCTTCACCGTTTCACCTTCAGCACTTCACATTTTACGTCCTGATACTAAATTTCTTGGGTTTAACGATGGTGATTGTTTCTGTCTGGCTGCAGTTGGAGCATTTAGATTATTAAACCTCACATAGTAGAACAGAAGATAGTTGCTCGTCACGCTGCCAGATTTGTTCATTCAGCCCCAAAAATGTTGTGACACCGTGGACGTCTCAGTGCAGCGAGCCCAGAGCACCGCTGCCAGCTCAAACAACCTCGCTCAACGTTTTTATGGCGAAGCTTTTAACTCAAGACCACAAAACCTGCGTCGGACGCCACTAACATTTACAACATTTACATCCTGTGCATCAAAGTTATCATCTGTGCACAAATTTTTTTGTGTCTAATCATTTGAGTGCACAAGATTTAAAGAATGTCCTTCGCAACTTCAGGGTCTCCGTGTTTCCTCAGTGTTGCTACTTATTGTTCTTCCTCTGGATCTGATGATTATTATTATTATTATTAATAATCAGATGTCGGAGTTTCCATGAACGCACCATCGAGTTTCAAACCCAGCTCATGAATGCATCAGGGGAAAATGAACACAGATAAAAAGTGACAGAAATCCATCTACAGTAAGTTTTGAGTCTGCAGATGGATTTTAACCTCTCTAACTCCACCAGGATGCTCACGTCCTTGCTCCCCCCCTCCTCTGTTAAATGGTATCTCCCAGGCGCACTACGTCATCAAACCATGTGATGTTTGGTATTGCCGGATTCAGGAAGCTCTCGACTTTTCAAAAATAACATTGTTTTTCTTTTATTTATCATGTATTTCGCACCAGAGCAGCCTAAACACACAAAGTCCAAAATCGCGATGAGTGGTGACAAGTCATGTCATGCCGTTTTTTGACGGGAAAAGTTAAAGGATTACTCGCTATCTTATGTGGAGCTGTTAGCGGGGACTTAGCTGGTTTATAAAAGGTAAGAGTCTCACTTCTACCACTATTTTTGGCTGAGATATACCGTCTAGAAAGTGGGATCATAACTTTCACGTTTCATATGGCTTTATTTGGTGATATTTTATGGTGTTTCTGTGTCATAAACAACATCAGCTATCATAATCACACCTGATTTCAATAAGGTACAATGTTTGAAGCTGGCTGAGTGTTGTTTGATCACTGATAGTACTGTTTTGAAGCCAAGTGACCGACTTGTCATTTGGAGCTCCGCCTGGATCTTTTCATGGTAAAAACACTGTAGAATGGTCATACTTTGAGCAGTCTTCTTCAAATTTGAAACAAGTGTTCATTGATAGTGTGCCTACAGCCCCACAGTGTCATTTACCTGCTCAGATGAAGCCACAGACAGTTATTCATCCTGAAACACATTTTTATTTTATTTTAGGCAAAATCTTCAACTTTTTACTGACTTCAGAGGCCCATTACTCTGTCTCTGTATCACCTAGAGTGTTTCTGACACTTTCACAAGAAACTTCAAGGAGTTTTATTTCTGGCAAGACATCATGCATGCATGTAGTCAGAGCGGTTCAGAAGCTACAGTCATTTTAATGTGGGTATGTCATTTTAGGCGTTTTTCCTACAAAATGGGGGTGGAGTGCAAGAGTTAATAGAAACTCATCAGCAGAGACATGACAGATTTTATGTAATGTGTTACAGAGAAAACAGAAAAATACAGCTGTGTGTTCCTTGAACTCATCACAATGTTGAGTGTGAACTTTTCTCTGTGCAGATCAGATCAGAGAAGTTTTTGACATTTACGTCACAAAGGTTTTGACTTAACTTCCTGCAGATAAGGACATGGAAAAAATGTTTTTCCCCGAATGACACCTCCTAATCTGTAATCAATACTGTGTGTGTGTGTGTGTGTGTGTGTGTGTGTGTTCAGATGATAAGGAATATGACGTGTACATCTCGTACGCGAGGAACAGCGAGGAGGAGCAGTTTGTTCTGTCGATGCTGCGCAGCGTCCTGGAGAACGAGCTGGGATACTCAGTGTGTATCTTTGACAGAGACAGTCTGCCGGGAGGGAGTGAGTACTCACACGTGCTGCAGTACACACTGATACTGCAGGACACACTCTATATGATGGTACACACACACTTTCTGCAGTACAGTACACAGTGATGATGCACTGCACACAAAATAATGCAGAACAGTCGGTCTACACCAGGAGTCGGCAACCTGTGTTACATTTTCTGCCAAATCTAAGAGAAGATTAAAATGTGTTGAGCTGCAAAAAACATATTTGAGCCTCACAGTGAAGGTAACACAGCCTGTTAAGTCTTTCCTTCGTTAATATGTTGAAGTCGGTTTTTAATGATTATGTGGTTCTTTAACTTTGAAGTTTTGGTGTTGAAAGCGAATGAATCTGTACATGCGCTGTTGAATTCTCAATTTCTTTCCCTTTTTTTTGGATCTAGACTTCATAGCTAGCGCAGCGAGGGAGACTCAAGGCCGACCACTGCTATTGAGGTTCGGCAAAATTTAGAGGAAGAGGCTCCAGGCAGGCGACTGATGGAGCACATTTTAGTTGATGAAATGTTATAACCTTTTTTTTATTCAGTGTAAAGTTGGAGAATTTAAGAATCACTAGGTCTCGGGGGCAGCAGGCTGAGCAGAGTATTCTAGACGTCCCTCTTCTCAGCAACACTTCCCAGCTCCTCCTGGAGGACCCCGAGGGCGTTCCCAGGCCTGATGAGATATGTAGTCCCTCCAGTGGGTTCTGGGTCTGCCCCGGGGCCTCCTACCAGTGGGACGTGCCCAGAACACCTCAGCTGACCCTCTGATTAGTCTCGTTCCCAAGCGAAGGAGTTCAAGTATCTCAGGGTCTTGTTCTCAGGGTCTTGTTTAAGTGAGGGTAGAATGGAGCGTGAGATGGATCAGTGGTTTGGTGCGGCATCTGCAGTGATGCGGGCGCTGTGCCAGACTGTCGTGGTTCAGAGGGAGCTGAACTGGAAGGCGAAGCTTTCCATTTACTGGTCCATCTGCGTCCCAACCCTCACCTATGGTCATGAGCTCTGGGTAGTGACTGAAAGAATGAGGTCACAGATACAAGCATCTGAAATGAGTTTCCTCTGTAGGGTGTCTGGGCTCAGCCTTAGAGATAGGGGGAGGAGTCAGACATCTGGAGGGAGCTCGGAGTAGAGCTTCTGCTCCTTCATTTCCATATACTTTCTTTTGAAGTCACAGGGAGCCTTTCGAGAGGGGCCAAAGAGCCGCAGGTTGCCGACCCCTGGTCTGCGCTCTGATACCACAGTACAATACAGTCTCACAACAACTACACATACAACTGCCAGGAGTCCTGGTACTGTTCATATTACTAGCTCTGCTCAGACTCTCTACTGTCACTGCTACCAGTCATATTACTTCTACTAATACTTCTACAACTGTTGCTCCTGCTCCTGCTCATTGTCCTCCTCCTACTTCTACTGCTCCTGCTGCTCCTGCTGCTGCTCTCCCTGCTACTATTCCTACTTAAACCCAGTTCAGACCAAAGATTCACGACAAGATTAAACACTTCCAGAACGTTGCAGAGAAAAGCGTCAGTGGTGTGAACCGGCCGGTCTGAGCTCAACTCAAGCCGGCTGATGGTGTCACCTGACACTCAGCAGACACACCACTGCACAAGTATAAATGCTCACAACGGCGTAGGCTACAGCACACGCTCTGCATAGTATAAATATTCCTTTACACAGCGTACACACACTCCCTGTCAGGCGGGTTAAACCAAACAAGACAGAAACAAAGATAAATTAATAGAAAAGTTTTGTCTGGCTGTCAGACCTTTAGGAAAGTGACGTAAGGAAAGTTTGAATGTGTCATGCTGACGCATTTTTCCCACCATTTAACTGCAGAGTTTACCAACAGCTCCTGTTTTACTCACAGATTGTTAATCAAATAACGAGCTGATGTCAGATCTCAGACATTACGTCTACTGCCTCCACTATTTCTGCCGATACTCGTACTGCAGTTGTGTCACTGATGCTACAACTGCTGCTGCTGCTGTCTTTATTCTGTCTGCTACTTCTGCTACAAGCCAGCAAAACACACTTCATCCATTCATCCATCATCCCTTCATTAACCCTCCTCTCTCCCTGCAGCCATCACTGATGAGACTCTGAGTTTTGTGGCTCGTAGCCGTCGCCTCCTGGTGGTCATTAGCCCCGGCTACGCCTCCCAGGGCTCCCAGGCCCTGCTGGAGCTGCAGGCCGGCATCGATGGCATGGCGAGGGGCGGGCACCTGCGGGTGATCCTGGTCCAGTACAAGCCGGTCCGGAGGCAGGGCTGGGTCAGGGAGCTGAGGAGGGCCCGGGTGGCCCTGGCTCTGGTCCGCTGGCAAGGGGACAAGTCCAAGGAGCTGACGTCGCGCTTCTGGAAGAGGCTAAGGGTGGAGTTACCTGTGAGGAGGGTCAGCAGCAGAGGGGAGAAGGAGGAGAGCAGTAAGGAAGTGGCTCTGATGAGGCTGCACAGTCAGAACAGCACAAACTCCCAAACAGGCCTCATCAGCAACACGATCAAAGACCCGCAGAAGATCCTCAACTCTGCAGCGTAGACACGACAGACGTCTGCGGCATGTTCAGTGTCCACAGAGCTGTCATCACGTCTTTATGACTGAGACCACAGGTGACAGATGTGTGGACAGCCTTCATCTACAGAGATGTTTCTGCCTCTATTTTCAGTCTGTTTTTAACTCTGGCTGAGTTCATCTGGTACCGTCACCGTGCCTGTGACTCAGTTATGATGCCAAAACTGTGCCTTATTAATTTCAACCTTTCCTGCAAAACCTTCATTATAAAACACTCAGCAACTCAAAAAGCAAAGAGAAAAGGAACGAATGAAACAGTACAGAAACCTGTGGTGCTTCTCAGATTAATTTTTCATAAACTCAGCTTCAGTATTAGTCGTCCTCTCATTATCAACATCGTTACCATAAATAATTTTTCATCTGCACACTATCCACTAATTATCACTGTGTATTTCATATTACTGTATTGTCTGTACAGATTTCAGAGCACTGTGTTAAGTCTGGTTGCACACTGGTGTTTGTTTTGAACCCTGGAGTTAGGGTTGAGCTCCGACTGTTTGTCCACAGCAGCCGAGACACCTGCCAGTCGAGGCGAAAACATATATATCTTTCTACACCACGACACATTTCATTTTACTCCATAGACTCAACAGCCTCAGTTGTGCTTAGGTCCACCTGGTTTTTGAGCCAAAGGCTAACATTAGCACGCCTTAGCATGTTTCATGTTTACCATGCTAACAGTAGCATGTTAGCATGTGTTATCAGCATCAGTATTTGTATTATATAATACAGTGTTAGAAGAAAGACCAAAGGATTCACCCTCAGGGGACCATGAATGTCTACTTTTCAGTTGTATTGCATCTTTAGACCAAAGTTGCAGGTTTACTTATTTCAGTTCAGTCAGACTTTTCTCTAAGAAATATCTCCACCCAGTGGCCAGAAAAATGTTGGCATTGTGCGTTTCTGCAGACCGCGCATATGTTACACTTGCACGTTATTTTATTATGTAGTGGACGAGTTGACTCTTTCTGTTTCAGCAGTGCTTGGGGTAATGTGAAGTTAGGTTTAGGCAGAAAAAGCACTTGGTTATGGTTTGGAAAAGATCATGTTTTAGCTTAAAATATACGGTTTGGTGGCACAGTCATGGCTAGAAATTGCGTGAGATTATCCCCACTGGAAGAATGGTGATAGGGTGTTAAAAAAAACACCTGAAAAGTCACTGAGAAAGAGCCATGGTCTTGAACAGTGGTCTGAAGCTTGGCAGGCATCTTGCCTCAGTGACACACTCAACCACCATCCACCTACAGATGACAAAATCAGCTCATGTAGTGCGTCACTTTAGAAATGTTGATATGATTCATATGAAAAATGTAAATATAAAGTGTCTGGGCAGAAATGTGAAAGGCCAACATTTTTTCTGGTGACTGGACTGAGCCTCTGGTGACCATTAGAGGAGCTGCATTTAATACACTTCAACACTCAGCTGTGGTGGTCCCTAAACTTCTGTTAGATTTATTCCAAAAATAAAGTTGGGTGTCATCTGCGTAGAATGACACTCACAGTATCATATGCAACAGCCTTCAAAAGCACCACAGCTATAAAATGTTACAGAGGAAACACAAACCCACCAAAGAGGGATCCATGCACTGCTTCATTTCACACATCAGCCATAAATGAATGTATTTACAGATAAAACCTGATCATTACTTTAAAATGTTGCAATTACTCTGCACTTTGTTTTTTGTATTTTATTCTGTTTGTCACTGCTTCCACTTTTATACCTTCAAAATATCTACAATAAATCAAGTTATATTTTTCTGTAAAAGAATGTAGTATATTCTAGTACAGTGGTTCCCAACTGGTGAGTTGCGGGTCCATTCTGAATGGACCGCAAGTGACTTGCAAACATGTCAAGTTTATAAAAAGACACACCCTATTTTTAAGTGCATTTAATTTTCAGCACAGACTTTATATTTTAAAGTTTCCTGCTGTAGAGTGAGTGACTAACAGACAGCTAATTGACAGAGACGGCAAATTAGTTTGATGACATGGCCAAACCCAAGTACGATGCCAAATGTATTAAACTATGAGCCTTGAACAAATGACTAGGCCCTGATCAGAAAGCGTTTTAGCAATTGGAGGCGACTTTTTAAATTGTTCTTAATGAGAATGAAGCTTCATGCTCGCTGTTTTTGAGTTGCCACATGCCTTGTGTTTCTGCACACTAGGCGCCTGGCATTTTTGCCGGAGCGCTCTGAACACTTGAGATAAAAAAAACTTCAACTCAGAGCAGAAAAGCCTGAGTCATGTCTGCTTTTTTCTCCATTGTCCAGTGGGATGATTTGAGAGGCGGGCCTTCTGTGGTGGTCACGACAACAAGTTTACAGTTGGTAAACAATGGAGGAGAAACTGGTGGTAGTGGTTGCTGGATACCCAGAGCTATATGGCCTGATGATAGACAGCAGGTTGTCAAACTGCCCCTGAGTCTTCCTAAAATCTGCCTGTAATCGTCCATGATGGAGGAGAAGCTCCTGGACCAACTGGTGGTACTCCCCATGATCCAGCCTCTTTTTTAGGGTCTCATGTACCCACACAGATCTCTGTTTATCTGCTGACAGCCTCTCACCCTCAACCAGAGCTACAGACAGCACCCTCTGCCTCAACATGGCAGCAGCTACACACTGATTACTGGAGGATAAATTAAAAAAAATGAACAGTAGATTGATCACACAGGAAGGTTAGGGTACTAAGGTGATGGGGTGGTTTCCTGGCAACAATTAAAAGGCGCAGCAAGCGTAGTGCACCACTTGCAACCTGCAAAGGGCTTTCTGTGTGATCGGGGCCAAAGGAGAAATCCAGACCAGTTGGGATCCACTGATCTAGTGCACAGTGTCGTATAAAGACATTGTGCTATTCATCTTTAACACTTTGTAAAAGAACAGTAATGTAATGGCAGAATGCATCCTGCACCTTGTCATGCTTAAATGTTTATATTTTAGCAGTTTGCAGTATTTCATCTATTTTTGTAAATAAATAAATTGTTCATTTCCACCATGTCATCATCATCATTTTTTCATTCTTCATTTCATGTCTTACATTTGCAGTTACACACAAGCATGGAGTCAAAATTATAATGCACACGTGACCACATATAAATAGTTCCTACGATTATTCTTTTCTCCCCAGAAGTTTAACATGAAATCACAGATTCTTTCTGGAAAACTGTTTGACTCTTAAAGCCATAAACATTCACATTTCATTTTAGAATAAATATGTAATGCAGTACAGAGTTTAGTTTAATCTGCAACTGCATCACAGCGTTAAGATGAATTACAGTTTGATAAAAAATTCTTATCTTAATATTCACCCACTGGCTTTTAATTGAACGTTATTCTGGACAAGAAAAGTTGACAAATTATTGATGGATTATTTGTCTTGTCTTGAGTCTGTATGTTGATTAACGAGTGACAGTCTGGAATTTTAGATTGAGTCTGAGTCTTGTGATAAAAATGTTTTTTAGTTTTAATCCCATTTTGCTCATTTTTATCTTTCATAGTTTTAGTCGACGGAAATTCAAAATTTTAGTCATGTTTTCTGTTGGTTTTTTTTATCTTTAAACTAATCCAGTGAGACTATTTCATGTCTCATAAATCAGACTCAAGGTACATAAGATAATGTGTGTGTCATGTCTCCAGCAGTGTGTGACAGATTTAAGGGCTGATTTACGAGCACACACTTACTGATCATCATCTGAAAAGCTCAACATCTCTCTATTTATGCTCTCAACAAATAACTAACGTGAGCCAACTAGGATTTGTCCCCAGGTTCATTGTAAACTCTGACTTATCCATGTGACTGTTAAGAAGCAGAAACATAACTTGTTTCTACATGTGCAACATGTTAGTCTGGAGGTTTAAACTGGTGTCCTCTCACAGAGTTGGTGATTCAAACTAAACTTTCATCTCTGTCAGAGAAAACTGATCTGAGTTCAGACTGTTTACTTACAGCACAGCTACACTCACAGATAACTGAGCCTCCTACCTGCCTGTCAAACACCATCAACCCACAAACCTTCTCCAGTCCGGACTGAGTGGAGTCCTGCGGGGTGAAGCTGTGAAGTCTGCGAGTGGAGCTAGCTGCTAACAGCCACCGCTGCAACTAACAAACTCCACAGATCCATTCAGCAGCTCCACCATCCACAGTCAGACACACACGGCTGATTATTTACTGCTGAATTACAGCTCACAACTCGCACCAACCCAAACATCCTGGTGCAGACTATTTACTGGAGTTCACCAGCCTGTTGTTCATCAGGCATCTGAAGATCATTACAAGCACAACTGTTTTTTGCTTTCAATGTCTGATAGTCCGCTGCTAACATATTCATCACGTCTCATCAACAAAAATGAAACAGAATTCGTCTTAGTTTTTATGATCAAAATCTGTTCTTAGCTTGTCACCATTTGGGGCATGTTCACGCCGTCAATGTGCGTCCACTAAAATGTTTGTTTTTGTCACTGACAGGCTCAGGTTATTATTCTAAGTGTCTGACAGCATTATGAAAGGATCCCTACAGAGATAGAGCTTTGTGTTAAAGAGTAAGATCCTTGTTGTTCAACCAAAAACAGCCCCGTACTTCGAAGCAGCAGCAGCAGCAGGTGTAGTAGCAGCAGGTGTAGTAGCAGGTGTAGTACTGTCGACACCTCCATCATCAGTAAAGCTGCTCTCTGCTGGACTGTACAAACTGTGTTTAATCTGTTGATATTTTAGCAGCTGCAGTTCCTGACTTCCTGTTTGTCCTGTCAGACCTATCAGAGGCCATCCTGCACTCGATGCAGCGGAGCCGCCGCCTCGTCCTCGTCCTCAGCCCCGACTTCCTGGCAGAGAAGAGCTTCAGCCTCCTGGAGTGTCGTCTGGGTCTGTACCTCCAACATGGCCACCAGGCCTCCATCGTTGCTGTAGGTTACCGCTCCATCAGTAAACTGCCCTGCGTGGAGGTGGCTCAGCTCCGGCAGGCCGCCACCACCACCGTGACTTGGCGAGGGAGTCGATCTGAACCGCGACGGTCACGCTTCTGGCTGAGGCTGAGGCTAGCGCTGCCTGTCCGCCCGCTCGCTCTGGGCAGGAGGTTGATTGACAGCACATCGTCTCATTCGGACCTCGCCGTCCTGGCGCTGCAGAGAGCGCAGCGGACCCAGAATCAGAAAGACAGAGCCAATCAGAGTCGTAGAAACAGGCGGGCCCCACCCAGAGGGAGGGGCAGAGTGAAGAGGGCGGACACATGCAGGGAGGGGTGGTCACAGCACAGCACCAGCTGCTCAGGGTGTGGCTGTCAGGTGAGGGACAGGGGGGCGGGGCTAGCAGTAGAAACAGAGATGCAGCAGGTGTCACATGACAGGACTGAGATCCGGTCGGATCCCGTCCCTGAAACAGAGTCCGCCCCAACGCCAGACTCTACCCATGACCCTCAGTCGACTTCTAACCCCTCCCCTTCACCTGACCTGGCCTCAGACCCCGCCCCTGACTCCGCCCTCCCCACATGCCAGCAGGAGGATGGAGGCAGCAGATGATTGGCTCGGGGACTTCTGAGTGATGTCAGCAGTAAAAGGGGAGGGGCTTGTGGATAAAACCGCTCCAAAGAGCCAGGATGTAGCAGAGGCTCCGCCCTGAAATCCTTTTTATACAGACACTGAGTGATGCTGCATTCAAGTCACACAGGAAAGATGGTAAAACAGAACGTTAAGAAAAAATACAGCCGTAAAGCCAAACCCTGTTCTCTTTTCCCTAAACGTAACCATGTGTGTGTGTTGTTGAAGGAAAATAAATGTCAATTCATGGTGTTGTACCGACGTAGTGCTTTTATTTTGAAAGAGACTGTATGCAAACTGTACATTTCCTGTGAAAACAGAAGTGTATTTTGAAAACAGACAATGCATGTAACAGGCTGAAGTTGACACGGCGTCCCAGAACGTCAACAGCCAACACACCCAGGGTACCTTGGACGCCATACGTGGACGTGTCCATGACCAAACGTGGACATGTGACGAGGTCGCAGTGAGGACGTGCTGCTAAGGTCTCGTTTGACAGACTCAAACACACCAGAGGGCAATTGAATCCAACATGACCTGAACGCAGCATCTTTATCAGCAGGTGATGTCATCAGCTCGTGTCTGTGAGGAGAAGACATGAGCGACAGCTGCAGAGACGACGGGACGTCCTTTGAAATAAAATTCACCTTTAATTAATCAGACAGCTGGAAAATGCCTTATTTTATACGCTGACAGTGAAGTGGTCACATGATGATTTATTGTGTTCATCAAACTTTATCAACTGTGTTTTCTAAAGCAGAATCTGCTGAATGTTCTCAGATGAGTTTAAATATGATGCAAAATAAAAGATATAAACATGACGTGTTATTAATCATCTGCTCATGTTATCTTCATCATGACACACGTTAGAACTACAAACTAACAATGCACAGAAATAGCACAGTAAATTCAAAATGGCTGACTTCCTGCTGGGTTTAGGGAACGACTCCAGGAGGCTGTTTGTACATCTTGGGACGTTTAACGTGCCTCCAAATTTTTGTACATTCTTCAGGAAGCAGCTGCGATGAAAGTTTGTGAGAAACACTTCATCTTTCAGGACCTTGAAGGCTCCAAATGTAACACTCTGAAATGTTTTACAGAGTGAGTATTATTTTAATACTTGTAGCACATTTAGCTGATGATACGTATGATGTGCTTTTACACACACACAGTTTCTTTACAGGACAGGACTTTAACTGATTACAGAGTGTTTTATTCTGTGGTGTTGTTACTGTGACTCAAGTAAAGGATCAGAGCACCAGAGGAGGAAGAGGAACTCGTTCTTTACTGGAGTAAAAATACGAAAGTATTAGTATCAACATAAACTTCAAGTACCAAACACACAGTGACAGCTGGCAGCAGGAGAACTTCCTATATTTCCTGTTAAAAAGCCCTTAAAGACAAAATGTTTAACATCATGTTCTGCATCACACAGTCACACAAAATACACAAAAAACTGTTCACTGGTGAATAAAATAAAATAGAATAAAACAAGGTAAAATGAAAAAAATAAAATAAAATAGAATAAAACAAGGTAAAACGAAAAAAATAAAATAAAATAGAAAACAAAACAAGATGAAATAAAATACAAGATAAAGAAACAAAATACAAAACAAAAAAATAATATAAAATTAGAAAATAAAACAAGACAAAATAAAATTAATTAAATATAACAAAATAAAATTAAATTAAACAAGATAAAATACAATAAAATAAAAAACAATAAAACAAGATAAAATAAAATAAAGAATATAATAAAACAATATAAAATAGAATTAAAAAACAAGATATAATAAAATTAGAAAATAGAATAAAACAAGATAAAATGAAAAATAAAATAGAAAACAAAACAAGATGAAATAAAATACAAGATCAAAACAACTAAAATACAAAACAAAAAAAAATAATATAAAATTAGAAAATAAAACAAAACAAGATAAAATAAAAGCTAAGATAAAAAATAAAACAAGATAAACACTCATCTAATTGTTTTTGTTTCTACTGAAGTAAAGTACAAAGTATTAATATCAAAATATACTTCAAGGACCAAAAGTAAAAGCACTCATCATACAGAATAACATGTATGATTGTTTTATAATTATTGATGCATTCATGTGTTCATCACTTTAATGCTGCGACTGTTGAAGGTGGAGCTCATTTTAATATATTTATATTTTCATATGTGTTATTTTATAAAGGCTGTGAACTTCTGCCTGAGGATCAACACAGTGTTATTTAAATTATAAAATGTATTTGTTGATTATCTTTTATTGTTAATCAGAATCTGCACAGTAACTGAAGTTGTAAAATAAATCAAGTTTATTATTTCAATCTGAGATGTGCAGGAATATTAATATAAATATTATTTAATATAATTAATAAATGTGGTCAGGCTCCATCTCAGCTGAGTTCCTCCTCAAACTCTCGCGGGTCAAAGTTGAAACAAGAGGCGGAGCATCTCGCGACCGGAAGCGCGTGTTTTCTGCACGCTCCAAATACATGAAGAAGATGCTCAGGTGAGTTTAATGAGCTGATGGAGAGTTGGTACTGCTGTCTGTGTGTCTGTCTGTCTGTGTGTCTGTCTGTCTGTCTGTGTGTCTGTCTGTCTGTGTGTCTGTCTGTCTGTCTGTGTGTCTGTCTGTCTGTCTGTGTGTCTGTGTGTCTGTCTGTCTGTGTGTGTGTGTCTGTCTCATCAGCTTCACCTGCGGCACCAAACACACCTGAAGCTGTGAGAACAGACACGATCCTCCTGTTTAACCCTTTAATGTCCACACACGGTCTCACACACTAACATCAGATCAGCTGATTCCTCTGCTGAGGCTGGGGATTAATAATCAATTAAATATAATCAAACAGCTGAATTAATGTGGCTGAGGGTGAAGACATCAGAGATCAGAGAGACGGGGCAGCAAATTATTATAAAAGTGTGCATTTTGTGACAGATTATGTTTTAATCTCTGCGTCAATCTGCACTTCCTGCTGATGTTTCAAAATAAAACCAATGGAAAGCTTTTAATGTGAAACAGATGGAGGAGATTTTTTTAAAAAACTTTATTGAACAATACAACAGAAAACATCAGAACACAACACGAGAGCTGAAAACATCAGTTGCAATGAAAGATAGTGACATTAAACAAAATTATAATAATTGTAATATCAACACAGAGACGTTTAGAATTCTTATAATAAATAAAGTAAGAATGGACACTGGAGAAAAAACAAAACTACAAACCGTTCATTTCACAGGAGGAAGTTTCATCAAATATCTTTTTGTAATATTCTAAAAACTTTGTTAGAGCAGCAGAGAGTTATTTTTTTCATCTATCTTTTATTTAACCAGGAACCTGTGAACTGAAGAATTTGTGTTTATGAATAAAAAATATTTACAATAAAATAAAGAAATAAATATAGAGGCTGCCGTTGTAAACAGGGAGCTATAAAGTAGTATATATGTTAATTATATATTAATATATAAATTTAAATTAAATAAGTTGAAGTTACCATGTTTCAAACTCTTCTCCTGTAATTTCACTTTATTGCACAGATATTTTTTTTTATGGATTCAAAAATTATGATTTCTTAATCTGTGTAGTTTTTCGTTGAGTTAAAACCATAATTTAACGTTAAAAGCTTTACTGGAAACATGTTGAAACTTATTTTCTCCACTTTATGTCAAAAAGATTTCACAGCTAATCACATCCAGTTTTTATGTACGTTGATACAGAGCGCCAACTTTTTTAGAATCAGGGTGATGAAATATAATTTTATTTTTGTAGTTTGAATCGACTGAAAATATGAAAATATGTAAGTGTATATAAGCGTCTGCACTGACAGTTTAACCCTCACGACTCTTCTCTCACATCAGTCCTGCACCTAAAATGTTCTGTTTATGAAAAAAGAATTTCCCCAATAATATAAATAAATGGTCAAAATAGTTCAGAGACTTCATCATCATCGTCATCATCATCATCATCACAGTGACAGGTTAAATCTTTAAGAGTGAAACAGTGAGTGATGGAGGAGTTTATATTAACGACTGGACACATGACGTCACCGTGAAACTGCATGTTTGAGTCAATTTATTTAATGAAGGCAAAATTACCTCAAAATAATCTTTGAATTATATGAAGATGAGAGAGCAGGGAGACTTACAGCAACAATATATATTTCTTTTCTTTTGTTTAATTTAATTTAATTTAATTTAATTCTATTTTATTTTATTCCATTTTATTTTATTTATTTAATGAATGCAAAATTACCTCAAAATAATCTTTGAATTATATGAAGATGAGAGAGCAGGGAGACTTACAGCAACAATATATATTTCTTTTCTTTTGTTTAATTTAATTTAATTTTATTTTATTCTATTTTATTTTATTTATTTAATGAATGCAAAATTACCTCAAAATAATCTTTGAATTATATGAAGATGAGAGAGCAGGGAGACTTACAGCAACAATATACATTTCGTTTCTTTTGTTTAATTTAATTTAATTTTATTTTATTCTATTTTATTTTATTTTATTTTATTTTATTTATTTATTTAATGTAGGCAAAATTACCTCAAAATAATCTTTAAATTATATGAGACAGCAGGGATACTTACAACAACAATATATATTTTTTCCTTTTCTTTTCTTTTCTTTAATTTAATTTAATTTAATTTAATTCTATTTTATTCTATTTAATTTTATTTTATTTACAAGTGAACAGTTTGTGCTCTGACATGTGTATTCTGTGTGATTGTGGTCTGCAGAACATGATGATTAATAACATGTCAACATTTGAAAAGTTTAAAAAGAAAACACATTTTTAACAGGATAGATTGTGAGCACTCCCTGTCAGCTGTCACTGTGTGTTTGGTACTTATAGTATATATTGATCCTCATACTTTTGTACTTTTACTTCAGAAAAAACAAACAAATCAAAATGTTTAGTTCCTCTTCCTCCTCTGGTGCTCAGGTCCTTCACTGGAGTCACAGTGACAACAGCACTCTGTAATCAGTGAAGTGTTCTCATCAGATAAATGTACTCTAAGTATTAAAGGTAGAGATCAGTTACAGTTACTCTGATTCCTTTGTTTTTACTTCCTTCCAGTGAGACTATAAATCACAGCGTCCAGTGTGAAGCGTATCCCACAATCCACGGCGAGGTGAGGTCACACAGGTCGAACGCCGACAGGATGTGAGTAGATATTTCAAGTTAAAACTGTAAAGATGCTTTTATTGTGTTGATTTACAGGCTGCAGGAAGATGCTTTTATTGTTTTATTTTTGGAGGTTTTTATGACTTCCTTTTTATTGGATTTGAGGGGCGTTTGATTTGTCCTTCAGCTGCTCCCTGGGACACACAG